AAACCACTGCACTGCTATGCAGATGTTTAAGTCTACCTTCAAGCAATGCAAGACAAGAAATGGAATGGGCTCTTTTCTTTATTCTTAGCTTGTTGTTAAGTGCCTTTGAGTCAGTTTCCACTCATAGCAATCCTGCGTGGGGTTGCCAAGGAGCACCTGATGGGTTTAAATTGCCCACCTTGTGATTAGTGGTCCAGTGCTTATCCTATAGTACTACACTAGGACTCTGCATTTAAAGGGATTTAAAGTATTATACAAGATCATAAAGCTAGTAAAGTACATGGAATCAGGCGTCAAATCCAGATTGATCTAACTCCTGTATCCAAGTGTTCCCATTCTTCCACAGTGATTCCTCCTTAATATATTCCTTCATATTCAGTTTTAAAAGCCTTCATTTTCCATTCTTCAACTGAACTACTGTATTAATTTCTACAAAAGCCACCTATCTGGTCTGTAAAAGTTGTCAAGTGCTGACTACCAGATATATAAACTGCTTTAAAAAAAACCAACACAGCACATTTATAGAAAGAAAAACATGTTTTGTTTTCAGGTACTAAAATGTCTAAAATAGTAGGTAAGCACTTCTTTTGTTTTATGTTTCATGTAACTAAGCAGCCTTTTTCTCCTACTTTTAAGTATGGTAGGCAAATACCCCCAGTTATCTTATACCTCTAGCCTGCCTCTTTTTTCTTTGACCTCAAAGCAAAAATCACTAGTAATACAGTGTGGGAGTCCTAGTGTGGGTTAATGCATTGGACTGCAAGGTCAGTTTGAACCACAAGGTAGGCAGTTCAAGCTCACCAGCTGCTCCCTGGAAATCCTATACAGGGTTGCTATGAGTCAGAACCTACTCCATGACACTTAACAACAACACATTATAAGCTCATTTTTAACACTGCCAAAGTAGGAGAAGAGAAAGGAGATTCTGGCATACGCAGCAAAAGATCATGAGCAGATTAGGGTCCATACTTAGAATTTGAGAAGGTATTCAAGAAACACTAGTTTTCTACTGGTGATGACTTTGCCTGCAAGTGGGGGAGGGGGGCAATTAGCAGATTTTTGATCGTTATGACTTGGCTGGTAGGGAGTCTGGTGCTATTGATGTCTAATGGGTAGAGAGGCCAGGGATGCTGCTCATTATCCTCCAGTGCCCAGGACAGCCCTCTACAACAAAGAATTACCCCACCCAAGATGCCAGTAGTGTTACACTTGAGAAGCCCTGCTGTATATGAAATAGATGGATGGCCAGAGGGTCAAGCCACTAAAACACCCTGTATATTAGTTCAGTACTTTTCAGCTTTAAATTCTTTGCTAAAACCAAAGTTAACTCAAAAGTCTAAGGAATACAGCAGGCTAAAGAAAACTTCCACGAGGGGCCTCACCTCACCTTAAATGCCGTGCTGTAAGATAAATGTTCATTGATGTTAAATTTCACTAGAAAAATATTTCAAGTGAAGAGGGAACGATCTGTAACATGCATGGGCACCAACATATTCTAGGAATGTCTGGCCTTATGTTTTATTGTCCTGTGGATTACTTATGCCTAAAAAACAAAACAAAGCAGTTTCTTTTTCATTGAATTGTTGCATTCCACAAGGTCCATCCCCTGGTGCTTCCATTTCCTAGCTGATCATTAAAAACTTTACTGCCACTCACTTCTTATTCCCTCTGCCTGCCGCAGTCCAGTCTTTATCTCTTCATGCTTCACTGAATTGAACACATAACCTTTCCCACTTTCTTTTGAAGTTATCTTGGCAGCTCATCTCACCTTTACTCAAATCTTCTGCTTGTGCAGAGTTGAATAAGCCAGTGGATGCAAAAAAGTATATTCACAAGAACTGTTTCAGGGGATTTAGTGGTGGAAGAATGGCTTTCCTTCAGCAGGAGGCTAAGTGGAGCTTTGTCCCCAGAGAAGTTCTGCTTTAATAGTTTACCATTGTGTGTGTGGAGCCCTGGTGTGGCTCTGTAGGATAAGCACTGGACTACTAAACACAAGAATGGTGGTCCAAACCTATCAGTTACTCCATGGAAAAACACTAGACAGTTTTGTTTCTTCTTTACTACAAAGTTTTTCTCTAACCAAATTAGCTAAGAATGCTTTATAGACCAACTCCTTTATGTTTTAAGTCTTTTATTTTCAAAGAGAAAAAATGCTTGCCTCTAAACTTCTTCTAAAAAGAATAATTTCATCTTGCAAATAAAGCAATTAAGTGCACGGAGAACAGCAGTGCAAAAAATATGAAGTCCTATTCCTCCCACAGCACTCTACTTCTCTATTGGGTTTGATAGTCTGTTACAACAGCCACAGAGAACTCAAGATGCCATACTCACAGTTATGGAACTTACTAGGGAAGTTACAGGATACAATATTGGGTCAGAAATGCTCAGGGCACAGCTGTCCAGTCAGCTGCTGATAAATGCCCACAGGACACACCGCTCCACCATAAACCTCAGCCTGAAGGCACTGGAGGCCTCCCATTCTACAAACAAGCTTCCTGCCCTAAGTCACTCAGCTTTACTTGCTCCGTGGGCTGGAAGTTCACATGTCATGCTCGGGTTCTTGATCCTGCTGCTGCTGCTGATCTGACACTCTTCCAGTGTCACAGCTTTCTGTCCTTGGGTCGATCAAAACATAGGAATCTTGAGGACCAAAGGACGTGCTCCACTCTTAGTTCTTTCTCTTTGATGGCAGTGAGCTCACTCACCCTTCCTGCTTATTTAAAGTGGCTCATTTAAAATCCATACTAGTTTCAAGTTTTTACAATTACAATTAAGTCTGCTAACATCCACAGCTGAATCAAATTATCCTATCAATCTCTTCTCCGCCTTCTCATATACAGACCAAGCAGGGCAGAAACATTATTTGGTTAGAGTTACAGGCTATGGCTAGAAGAGACATTAGGTAATTCACTACACTACAACCAGCTACAGTCTACATGATCTAAACACTCGAACTTGCCTCCATTTTAATATATTGCAAAAGTTAGCTTATTTACCAGTTCTCTGCATTTCAGAAGCATCACCTTTTTAAACAAAATACACTTGCTCAGTCTCTGAGCCATTAAAGATACAAAGCTATGTTGCGTATGTGGAAAACTAAACAGTAGATTCAAATGGAAAGTAAAAAAAAAATGTATTTCTTTTTCCCAGTGAATTGCTATATACAAAAATTTTGCTTATTATTTTTCTTTTAAATTTGAAGAGTATATTTGTATTAGGGCATCTGGAAGTGAAATGCTTTATCATGAAATTTCCTACTAGAAAAACTGTTTATAAGCATTGGTAATATCAATGCTGATTCTTAGAATGGAACTGTGGAAGCTTTGTATTTTTGTGTATAGTACAATAATAGCCAGGAGGTCTGGTAGTGTAGTGGTTGCGAATCGGGCTGTGAACCACAAGGTCAACAGTTCGAAACTACCAGCTGGTCCACTGGAGAAAGATGGGGCTTTCTGCTCCTGTAACGATTTACAGCCTCGGAAACCCTGTGCAGGGTAACTGCGAGTCAGAGCCGACTCCACTGCATACCACCACCATTCTTTATTATTAAAGTTTTTGCCTTTCACAAAACAATGTTCTTTGAAAGATTTAAATAATGTCTTTTTTTCTCTATTCTAAATAACAATATAACTTCAAAAATCTTCAGAGTAAGCTTCCTTTTGATGTTTAAAATGTGAATTTACACAAGTTAAAAGTAAGACTTACACAGTAATAGAAATAGGTAGAATAAATCATCCAAATTAAAAACCTCAACTCTTATTAAAATATTCTCAAATAAATTGCCACATAACTTGCACTTTGTTGTTGTTAGGAGCAGTCAAGTCAGTTCTGGCTCACAGCAACCCTATGTACAACAGAATGAAACACTGACCAGTCCAACACCATCCTTCCGATTGTTAGTATGCTGGAGCCCACTGTTGTAGCCATTGTGTCAGTCCACCTTGTTACGGGTTGCCTTCCTTTTCACTGACCCTCCGCTTTACCACACATGATGTCCTTCTCCAGGGACTGGTTCCTCTTGATAACATAGCAGAGGTAAGAAAGATAGTCTTGCCAAAATTGCTTCAAAGAGCAATCTAGCTGAACTTCCAAAGACACATTTGTTTGCTCTTCTGGTATATTCAATATGCTTTACTAACATGATAATTCAAATGTATCAATTCTACTCTGGTCTTCTTTATTCATTATCTTACTTTCGTATGCATATGACAGGACTAAAAATATCATGGCTTAGGTTGTTGTTGTTGTTAGGTGCCAACAAGTCAATTCTGACCCATAGCAACCCTGTATAGGGTTTCCAAGCAATGATGGGTGAACTTGAACCACTGACCTTGTAGTTCAAATGGCTTTGCAGTCTGATGCATTAACCCACTGCGCCACACCAGGACTCCTTAGGTTAGGCTAGGTCAGGTCAGGTCAGGCCAGGTTAGGTTAGGTGTACCTTAGTTCTCAAAGAGACATCTTTGCTATTTAACACTTTAAAGGGTCTTTTGCAGCAGATATGCCCAAGGCAATATGTTATTTGATTTTTTGACTGCTCCTTCCATGAACATTAATCGTGGATCCAAGTAAATTGTGTTTTAGACTCATATAAAGGCTGGCATAATTTTTCAATAGAAATAAACAACAGGAGAGGTTTGTTATATTCACTATTTTAGGTACATTTTAGGCAAAATCTATAGTCAATACTGGAGATAGTATTGTGCCTTTCTCCTCTTTTCCCCAACTCCTCTTTTATGAGCACAGTTCTGGAAAAATGGTACATTGTTTATTTAAGGAAGAATGGGACAGGGGATGATGAGTCCACTTTTATAATCTACCTGCTTTATAGACCATGACACAACTTGTAAGACTGAAATTCTACATGGGAGACAAGTTGTTTTCCCATTTACTCCACTGTTTTCTGGCCACAAGTTTAAAATTTGGAGAATAAAATAATAAACGGACACATATATTACTGATAAGGTAATTAAGAAATTTGTTAACTCACCATTTTTTAGGTTTTGATAGTGGTTTGTACTTGCTGTATTTTACACGCCATTCAAGAACTTCTTTACAGCGTTGACATACTCCATCATGAAGTTTGGCGTTTATTTTCTTAAAAACAATTAGAAAAACAAATTAAGAATTTCATTCCTATAAGCAAGCATTGCTAAACTCATAAACTAGGTGCATGTGGAATTTAAAAAATAATACCAATCTACCTTTAATTTGAGCACCATTTTATTGGAAACCCAATACAGGGTCGTTATGGGTCAGAACTGACTCCGATGGCACTTAACAACAACAACAATGTATTTTGATGTATGTTGTTCATTTGATTTGGTTCTTTACAAAGGCAAGGGTTCTTAACTGGAGTGGCATTTAGAATCATTTAGAAACCTCTGTCACCTCCTGGCAGATAAATCTTGAGAAAGTCTTCCCTACTGATTCTTATATGTACATTTGTCAAAACTCAACTGTACACAAAAGGTCTGCACATGTGAGTGCATGTAAAACATGCCTCACTAAAACATATAACAATAAAGAAAATTCAGTTCATATTTTAAGACTACTGTTTCAACAATTCAAATCTTACTAGGGATCTGGAATTGAACTAAGAAATCAGATAGTCTTGAATTATCAGTCTCTAGGGGAGAGGAGATACTGTGGAAGTTGAGAAAGACGTGCTAGTGAAAAGCAGTTGGAAGTAAGAAAGCATTTAAGTATTCAACTCAATCCTTTTGTATTCCCATGAAAGGAAGAATGCTTTAGAAAAGCTGCCCTTGCTAACCTGGTTTCTTTTAAAGCAGAAAATAAGTATGCCTCTCTGAGTATATTTGGTGAAAATGGGGTTTCATGCGATAAAACTTTTTTTAATTACAATGTTCTTCTCAAAATGTATTGGAAAATAAGGAGGGTAAGAAAAAATTCAAGTGCTACATGTTTTCCATGATAGTCTTGTATGCTACAACATTTGTTTGATTCAGGACCTAGACTGAGAATTCTCTAATCTCCTTTGGCTGTGGAAACTTGGTTGCTGCCCATTGTTGAAATAATGAATATATTTAAATTTTCTTTCTTTCTTTGTTTAGAAGATTTCTGAAGGAAAGAAAGAAAGGCAATCCAAACTATATAGTTTCTCTGGGAGGTTATTTGATACTTAGTTTAGAGATCATCCAAGAGAAAACCAAACTGTTAAGCAGAAAGGTTTTGTTTTTAAAAAAAGGTAAAATAATTTGCCAAAAGCACTTAATCAAAGATAAAACATTACAATGGTTTCAAAAACCATTAATGAAGCCCTGTCATTTTGTTTGAGTACAAGTCTAAGGTGAAAAACATACTCTGTTACTAAAAATTGTAAACAAAGCCCAAAACAGCTACTGCCAGAAAGTATGGGCATTCCTATTTTGTTGACATAGATGAAAACTCTGAGTAAATAAATTCAGCATGCCACTATATTCCCACCTTGCTACAAGGTCTATTAGTTATTGTCAGAGAATAAAGTTTGTGCTTACATGACTAACGCCTCTCCTTTTTAACCTTGCAACTGTGTACAGAGCTTGCTTAGAAATACCTAAAACCAAAGCTGATTTCTTCATTTGCTTTCACTATCTCTGTTTTCTGGAATAAGAATATCTTGCTAAAAGCTTCACTTACTTTTTCATTACTCTAACAGTGAGGGAACAAGATAATGACTTTGAACAAAGATTATAATGTGACAGTGATATACTTACTAATTAGAATATTTTTAGAATGCTGAGCATTTCCTTACCTTCAATTTTATTACATGTAACACACTGCTTGTTAACAAGGAAGCATGGTTTGGTTTCTTGTTTGTTTCTATGTCCAATTTCTAACTAGTTCATCTTGATTTGCAAAACTGTGCATAGTTTGGAAACTGGTTTCTTTTGGGTGGACTGACAGTAGAACAAAAGAGGTCTTTGTGGCAACTTGTTTTGTGAGTGATGTGTGCAGCAGTGTAAATAGAGATGTTGTACAGGGTTCGCATGATTGGAACTACTATTACAAAATTAAATTTGATTTTCATGGTAAGAAATGAACAATGAGGGTAGGAGTGAGGGTGAATAGTATTTTCCTTTAAAATTAGTTTCAGAAAGAAAGAAAAGAGTGCACCTTGCTTTATCATGTTTTGGCAAACTAGAAGAGGAAACAAGTTCCACAGATGTGAGTCATGAAAGCTAAATCCTAGTTCTAGGAATCATTCAGCCTGGAGCAAAGGCGATGACAATCTTTACTTACTAACAACTATGTTTATGACCAACCAAGTTTGGGCAATTAATTTTAACATATCCCTCATGGTAAAAGATGATAGGTTATTAAGGCTAAAGTTTAAGGATGCCCACACAGAAAATATATTTGACATTGTCTTCTCGAGCTGACCTTTGAAATTTTCTGTTCAGCTCCTGTACCTCCTCATTTCTTCCATTTGCTTTAGCATCTCTACACTGGAGAGCAAGTTTCAGTGTCTCTTCCACCCATTTTGACCTTTTCCTTCTTTCTTGTCTTCTTAATGACTTTTTTTTTTTCATGTTTGATGTTCTTGATGTCATCCCACAACTCTTCTGGTCTTCGGTCTTTAGTGTTTAATGTATCAACTCTGTTCTTCAGATGATCTCTAAATTCAGGTGGAATATATTCAAGGTCATATTTTGGCTCTCGTGGACTTGTTTTCATTTTCTTCAGCTTCGGTTTGAATTTGCATTTGAGTAATTGATGGTCTGTTCCACATCTGGCCTTGTTTTGACTGATGATATAGAGCTTTTCCATCGTCTCTTTCCACAGATGTAGTCAATTTGATTTCTGTGTGTTCCATCTGGTGAGGTCCATGTGTATAATTGGCTCTTATGTTGTCTAAGGAAGGTATTTGAAATGAACAAATCATTGATTTTGCAGAATTCTATCATGCAATTTCTAGCATCATTTCTATCACCAGACCATATTTTCCAAATACTGATCCTT